CACATTTATATTTCCTTGATACTGTGTTTTCAAATACGTTGCATTATTGCGTGTATTCAAAAGAGTCAATTCAATGTATGCATTTCCAGACCATACTGCACAAAATCGAATGTTATATGAACCATTTTTATATTCCACGACATGTCCCAATGCTCTGTCAGTACCCTTGTGATTCAGCAATACTGCCTTCCATTGCTGGCCACCGTCCATGTATTGGGCATCGACATTTACATGAACTATATCTCCTATAGCAATATGTGACACGGCAGAAATCATGACAAGAGCAGAATATGAGTTGTCCGTCATATCAACACTACTAGAATTAGTAGAAAACCACATACAAGGACTCAGCATTGAATACCCGTCTCTTAATGGGTATCCGGGCGTATTCTTAATGAACTCCATTTTGATCTCAAACAAAAGGGAAGAGATGTTAGCACATATAATATAGACACAATTTAAATTATACACAGTTTTGGATAATTGAAAAATTATGAATGAATTTACCATGTACATGAATATTGACATACTTACTATAATACATCCATAAAGTGCAAGGCAAAATATGACCAGAAACCAAAGTATGTAATGTGTCTTCCGTGGCATATGTGCTAACATATTTGTTATATGCGTGTCACCTCACCACCGTGATAAAGTATTACGTCTGTCGATTAACGACAATAGCAATATGTTTATATGTGTGTTGGGTAAAGCAAACTCCAAATTACAATAGAGCTGTGCTGTTTGATTTGGGCGTGTGAGTAGAATATTTATGAATGGGCGCTTATTTATGACAGTTTCTGTTGAATTGGTATTCGCACCCGCAATCTCATATTATGCTAAGTAAACACCCACACCATGAAGCCACGCTGCGCGTCGGTCGATACTCCCGATGTACTGTCTTCGTGCATACTTTGAGGTATCCTCGTAATAACCTTAATATTATACATATTTTCCTTCCAAGGATACATCATGGGAACGCCGAAATCCAAAATGTCTAGAACAGAATCAGCGAACTTCTTTGTATGGAGTCCGGTGGCAGCCATGTTTGTTTTTATTATTAGAGGACGGTTACGCGCGTAATCATTCCATATTTGTAATTCGCATTTCCTTATATGGTAATTGCGACTTTCCTCTCTATATTGTAAATTAGTTTGATATATGATCTAAAACCACCAATGTCTGGTTTTGACCCAACAATTTTACATTTAAATATATAATAGCGTGTCAATAATAACATAGTATTATGTAATGGTCTAGCATTGTATACATCCCCCAAAATACATGTGACTGCACTTAACGTCAAAGTATCACCTGTAATGAAAGAAAACCATTCATTGACTGATGTCCAAAATACAGATACATATCTACAGTCCCAAAATAAATGAAAGTAGTCTTCCTCAACTTCTCCACAAAAAGAACACAGGGAGGAATCAATTAAGCCCGACAAGCACAACAACCTGTTTGAAGGCAATATTTTCATATTAATTTTATATTGAAAATAGCGTAGTTTGGCATCGGTAGTAATAGAAAAGGGAGCAAAATAAATATTTTTCCAAGGTAAAGGGTGTTCAAAATGTCCAGCCAATATTGCTATATAACTGAGGGGATTAAATCAGGAAATTCCTCATGGCAATACCAAAGATAAATATTTTTATTAACCTTAATTCCTGACAGCCAGATATTGTTATGGATGTTTGGCATACAGACTATTAGTTTTGACATGTTTGATTCAACAATACTGCGCTTCCAAATAGAGCGAAATTCTTTGTATGGAGTCCGGTCAAACCCTGGCGGCAGCCATGTTTGTTTTTTTGTTATTAGAGGACGCTTACGCGCGTAATCATTCCATATTTGGAATTCGCATTTCTTTATATGGTAGAATGAAAATACCCCGTAAAATACCGCAAAATTACGGCACGGCACTTATGACGTTACCGTGACAGATGTATATTAATAGGTAATAATTACACATCACTAATACTATTATTGTCAATCATAACGGATTGTATTCTTTTTTCATTCAATTGCGCATCCAGACTTATCACGGATGGGGATTACGGAATAATGAAGTCTACACACACGCAAGTCAAACGAACAACATAGTTATTCAGTCCAACCAAATAAAACACATCAATCTAGCCCATACTAATCCGTTAATCAACAAGGAAATTGCAAGCTCTTTAAAATCACTACTGTTATGGCAATAGTGCGACATTTTTCCAAACACAATTGCCATGAGTCTAACAAGTGAGTAAAACGTATCATGGCAAACACCGAGTAACTGACTAGGAGTTAATATTTGAGTCAACAATAGCAGTTCATACTATTCTCGAATGGGTTCTGTGAAAACAGGCTTGACGAAGAATGTTATATATTGCACAATAAGATTGAATAATCATTATCCTCGCTGTACTCCATTATATTCCGAATTTTAAAATGGAATATATATCTAAAAGACACACTGAAAAACACCAGAATTTGTTTTGCTTTTTAGCATACACAAAGTTTGACACTTATACCATGATATACAACTAACTCGTTATGATAATATGAATATTAGCGAGTAAAATGCTGGAATAATCACTGAATAATTGTGTACCTTATATAAACGCCCATTCACAAATTGATACAGTATCGAATATACACACAACCATTTGATTAAGAAAATAGCCGATAATATGTTTGTACAGTGTTGCCTACCTGACGATCCAACAGTATATTAACAGATTTCAATAAAAAATATTCTCATTAATTGTGCCGCAGCTGATACTTGATGGGGGACATCACATAGCTTATTTATGTAAGTGACTTTTATCCCATAAATACTGGGGTTTATTTAGGTATGTGTTACTGTCCCCATGAATTCTATAACACTGTAGTTGAGTTCGGGTATTTTTACTTGGTTGTTGAGAGGTAAAAATAAATAAATACGCCATAGTTACGGCAACTGGGACAAAACACTGGGGTGACAAAAACAGTTGACTGGCTGAACTTGCATATAATCTTCACAGATCACTTAAGCCTGACATATTCTGAGAAAGTCACCCTTGGATTATACACCATATTAGCGGGGTTGTAACGTGCTGGGGCTGGTTTTGGTCTTTGTGTGCTTATGTATGATCAGGAAATGTGTCTAGCTGACAGTATAGTTCTCCAACAGTAACTCACATGAATCGTTATATGCAGTTTCATTCTTTATGGTATGACACACACCCAAATTTGTACGCCCCCATGAGAGTTGGTGCTATGTAATCATCATCAAATTTTTGTCGTTACTCTCCTCCAGTGTCCGTAACGAACCAGTGGGGCATTGTGGGATCAATCGTGTTATTTTGAAGGATCACAGCGCCATCATGTGCAAACATGCAAAAAAGGCAGTACAGATGAAAAGATATTGTCCACTCCGGAGTGCCTCTCCTAAACTCTAATTATTTTAGCAGATTGACATAGAGTAACAAATAAAAGTTAAATGTCTAGACAGATTAATAGACATTAAAAACAAATTTAAAGCAGTGAAAACCCGAATAGATTTTTTTATCATCATCTTATTTCCGCAAACGCTGTGTGAAGAGCATGCGAGCATTGCCATTAACTAGATTAGAACGCTGAATCGGCCAATCATTTGGCAGATATTAAAACATATTTATGGCCTTGCACACACATCTTTGATAACATCACATTCCTGTTCAATGGGAACTGAAGATAAAATGAATCAGTATTAAATTATTACTAAATGCTGGACATAAACCTGGTGTACTGATATACACATAACACTAAATAACAGTTCAGACAAGTTACATATATATCTGCTTAATTATATTTAAGTAGATCTAAGGATATACCACATTAATTTAAATTTCTAATTCTACAAACGTCAGAGCGTTTTATCTAGGATCGATTATATCCGAGTATTTCGAAATCTAAGCGATAGTATTCGACTATTTGTTCCATCAAATGCTTAGGCAACGTCTTAATTGTTTCAATCAACTTGTCATTACCCTTTCGTTGATGCATAGCCGGAAATTTAAGCAAGTTATCAACACCAAGTAAATGTAGAACAAACGGCCCATCCTGATCCAAATGTTCCATGTGTCCGATAAAGTTTAAATTCCCGTTACATATAGAAGTAATCAAATATTGCGGTAACCAGTGCTCAGATTTAGGCATTCTATTTAAACCATTTGAAATAACTAACTGTACAAACTCTTTAAAAGTTACATTCAGTCTTCCAAATTCATTCTGTGTGTGGTTATTTTCTGGATCACTGTTCCTGATCTTTAAAATAGTATCACCATATAAATTTTCAAAGAATAAAGATGGTTTCGACAAGATATGGAATTTATCATAATAACAAGAAACCAGTCTTTCTAATGGATGACGGACGAACAATACGCGCGTGTATTCGGTTAATGAACGATTAGCACAGTGAATGACGCCTTGCATCTTACCACACTTTTGAGCAACGCCATCAAAAAGTTCTTTCCAGAACTTAGATCCTACTTTGGGTATGAGTTGAAAAATAAACTTATATTCCATTGAGACTACCGACTGCGCTGTAGATCTGGTTTTTATATTGTTACGCAGACAACCATCTTTGGCTACATTTATGCGTTCTTCGTTTGATAACAAGGAGTTGTATGTTTCAACTGTATGTTTCTGTCCAGAGATCTGTAATACACAATATGTAGCCAATTATATTATAGAAAAATGCAAAAAATAGTGCGATGACAAATGAAAAACATTAAATTCGTTTACACATCTGATATTGTAAGGTCAATCATTGAACAGTTTAGAATTTAAAAAAAGAAGGAAAATTGATTTATTGTTGATTGTTATTGATTGTTGCTATAATTTAGACTTAGCAACCCATTGTAACTTCTGTAACTAATTGTCCTTAATATTCATGCTGCAACCAAAATACAGTCTCACCACTAATTTTCACTTTTTTTGGCATTTCTCTCCTGAATCATGTTTGTAGAAAATAAACAATCCATTTATAAGCTACATTCGGAATTGTTTGTTTATTCATTAATAACAGATCAACAGACATGTAATATAAAACAATTGGTGAATATTATTCCCACGAGAAATGCAAAATACCCAAAGGATATGCAAATATAAAGCTAAATGTTCAAAAATACGTAAACTCAATATCGTTTTGACTGATATTTTGTATAAACCCTTGAGCTAAAAGAGAGTAAATCTCCAATCTTGTTATCTTCCCCGTACACATTCCCTTCCGCTGTGAGATTCATTGGAAAACTAAACCTCAACGTCACACTGGGAAAAACAGAATAAATAATTACACTATTATACATACTAAGTAGCCTGGCCCTCTTTCAGCGACTGATGGCTGGCTTTGTTTCCAAACTGAAAAAGAAGAAGATGGCTTATATACCACATTCCACCAGAAATTATTGAACAGATTTCACAAGCAAGGCAGCCATCTCTCTCACAAATGCCGCACACACGTGTGAGTACAAGATATACAACCGTAGAACAAAATTATGATTTAATTACACATATGTGTATATTAACAGACTTGTTTTGAGCAGTTATTTTAATATACCAGATTCGTACTGCAAAATTTGATACTGTATTATAGACATTCATATAAAAAATATAGAAAAACATATTTTACATTCATATTCTCAAAAAACTAAATATTTGGTATATAATTATTTTTTTCAGTACGTGCCTTAAAGGATGTATATTCAACACATGATAAACTTGTGCAAACAGGTGCATGAATGACCGGTTGTGAAATCGACCACCTTTTCGTCGTGTTAAGTAACATACTTTACAAATGGGTCCTTATCTCCTATCTTTTTAATGTAGTTCCAGATACATTGTTTCATTGTACCAATTAGAAAAATCGAAAAGAATAAATGTTCGTTCGTTTGATTTACACCAATATACTACATTCAAAGGTCACCTACAGAGCAATTAAAATAAATTATTGTTGTAGGTTGATAATGACCTAATGACAATATAAATGTATACAATTTCTCCGTTTTGTAAAGCGTTTAATATTGGAGTGCTATTATACATTAACTGCAATAATCACTTACTGCCAGTGATTATATTGAAGATAATACGATGACAAGAACATGATTGTTTATCGAAGCCAAAACCAGCATAGAATAATGTATGCTACATTTACGTAATGTATTCCAAATTCACTTTGTCAGCTTTTGTGCTAAGAATGTATCAAATTCTTAATATAATAGCATATAATAACTTGGAGCAGTTCGAGTCAAACATTAGACTTATAAAACTGTAAAAAAAAATAAAGTTCACCATACTGCATCGTGATTTGAAAAAATCAGTTCAACCATTGAAGACAAAAACTATGAAAGTTTTGAAATGCATGTAGTATTTTTGACAACAATCTCACCTTCGATTGTTAACTTTGATGATTTCATAATGGTATGCGACCTGGAAAAAGAAATTACATTGAGAGATTACTGTATTTTCAGTAGAGCGTAAATTATGCACACTTTACTGAAATGATTGATATGAATATAGTATTATACGAGATGAAAGTCACGGGATGCGCTACTTACATATTTGTTGAACCCTTTCCATCTTGGTTTAAGATAGAACCATCATATAGAGTAATTCCTGAGTGAATATACTGTAGATCACTACACGAAAACTTGCCAGGTACGTTCAACACTAACAGAGTCTTTTCCGAGTTTCTCCCTGTCTCGCAAAAGTTCTCCCAACCTTGATCACGCTTTAGAAAACAGGTAGCTGTATTGTTGAAAATATCGCTTGAATATACTGCCCTCCAATTTAA